CCTGAGCAAGAGTGAGACCCTGCCTCTACCAAAAATAGAAAAATTAGCCAGGTGTGGTGGTGTGCGCCTGTAGTCCCAGCTACTCGGGAGGCTGAGGCAGGAGTCTAGGAATTTGAGATTGCAGTGAGGTATGAAGATGCCACTGCACTCTAGCCTGGGCAACAGAGTGAGACTGTCTCTACATAAACAAAACGAAAAATTGCCCAGTGTGGTGGCACGGACATGCTACTTGGGAGGCTGAGGCAGGAGGATCGCTTGAGGCCAGGAGTTGGAGGTTGCAATGAGCTACGATGATGCCACTGCGCTCTAGCCCCGGCAACAGAGTGAGACCCTGTCTCAAAAAATAAATAAATACATACATACGTACTTATCTGGACTATCCCCCATCCCCAGTATTACCGCTGAGGCAGCAGAGGCCCAGAGAGGTTAGGAGAGGTTCTAAGGTTGCACAGATTATGGCGGCTGAGCTGGGAGGAAAGCCTCATTCTCCTGACTCCCAGTCCTGGCTTTTTCCTTCACCTCACTTGCTTAGGTCCTTCTGCTGGAGTTCAGAGAGACAGTTGACGCCACAGTTTGGGGCGGGGCGCTATGACAAGCTTATCTGAGTGTTTGGGTCCCCCCAGAGCAGAGCCAGAGCTAAGTATCTGGGTGACAGTCAAGGGAAGGAGACCAGTGGAGGTGTGTTCATGAGCTGGTCACTGCTGGGGCAATTGGCACTTCCGCCCTTTAAGGGATGTTCGTGCCCCAGGCTTGTCCCCCTGAGGGAGTGGAGCTGTAGGGTGGCTGTCCCCTCACTCTTGTCCCTCCCTGGGCGAACCTGGTTCCTGGGCTCTCCAGCACATCCAGCTGGCCTCGCCCAAGGGCCGAACCTGCTTCCTCTCTGGCGCACCCAGGCATGAGGAGGCTCTTGGGGTAGAGGTGCAGGCACCGTCTGCAGAGGCCTCGGGCTGGGCCAGGGCTCGCACTGGGGCAGGGAAGAACATGTTCTGCCATGACGAGCCCCAGCGTGTATGGCTCCTGCCCAGGGCTGACTGGCACTGGGAGGCCGGAGACCACCCAGAGACACCAGCTGGGTGAGCGGTGCTTAATTTAGTGGGCTGAGCTGGTCTGAATTCTCAGCAGCCTGGGCTCCAGCAAGCAAGGGGGTGGGCGTTCTTAGATGGAGACGCCCCGCACTTCCCCTAGCCAGGGCTCCACTTAGCCGGGGTTCTGAGGAGCAGTGCAGGACGCAGTATGTCGGAAGCCTGTTCCGCAGCGTCACTTCCGCTGGACCTGGGAGCTTTCCAGAGCGCCAGTGATCAGACCTGTCAAGAGACCTGATTTTGGAGCTTATTAGATGATTGAGCCTGAAGACCGGTCACAGTAGGTTTCTAGTTAGGATACACTTTTAGAGGTTTCAAAATAGCTTTTTCAATTTTTTTTTGAGACAGGATCTCACTCTGTTGCCTGAGCTAGAGTGCAGTGGCATCATCATAGCTCACAGCAACCTCAAACTCCTGGGCTCAAGCGATCCTCCTGCCTCAGCCTCCGGAGTAGCTGGGACTACAGGTTTGTGCCACCATGCCCGGCTAATTTTTCTGTTTTTTTGTAGAGATGGGGTCTTGCTCTTGCTCAGGCTGGTCTCGAACTCCTGGCCTCAAGCTATCCTCCTGCTTTGGCCTCCCAAAGTGCTAGGGTTACAGGCGTGAGCCACAGTGCGTGGCTCAGAATAGCTTTAATTAACTTACTTTGAATGTGTAGTATGTCTGCATCATTAAAAATGAAAATACATAAATTGTATTCAGTGAGACATTCCCCTGTTCTCTCCACGGTTTCCGGTTCATGGGCATCCTTCCTGAATTCCTTTATGATATGTAAGCAAATACTCTTATTTTCTTTTTTTATCATCCAAAGATAGCATAGTACAGGCCCTGTTGTGCACCAGTTTGTTTCTTCCTAAACTTAATCTCTTTTTAAGATCTTCCCATCTTCGTACCTAGGAGCATACCCATTTGTTCCTTTTTACAGCCGTGTAGGGGATCATGGCACCGACGCACCGTAAGTTGTTTAACCCTCCCCTGCGGATGGACATTTGGGTCATTTTGAATCTGACTTTTCCACGATTCTACAAAGAGTGATGTCTTTACATCAGTTTACACGTGCGCAAGTGTATCTTTAAGATAAATTCCCAGAGGTCAGGTTACTGGGCCAAAAGGTTTATGCGTTTTTGATCTCGATAGCTACAGCCACGCAGCACTCCTTAGGAGTGATACCGATTGTCACCCCCACAGCAGTGGCACGAGTGACTGTGGGGGAGGGATGGGATGAGTGGGGCCGAGACCTGTGAGATTAAAATTACACTCCTGGGCCGGGCGCGGTGGCTCACGCCTGTAATCCTAGCACTCTGGGAGGCCGAGGCGGGCGGATTGTTTGAGCTCAGGAGTTCGAGACCAGCCTGAGCAAGAGCGAGACCCCGTCTCTACTAAAAATAGAAAGAAATTAATCGGACAACTAAAAATACATAGAAAAAATTAGCTGGGCGTGGTGGCACATGTCTGTAGTCCCAGCCACTCGGGAGGCTGAGGCAGAAGGATCGCTTGAGCCCAGGAGTCTGAGGTTGCTGTGAGCTAGGCTGACGCCACGGCACTCTAGCCCGGGCAACAGAGTGAGACTCTGTCTCAAAAAAAAAAAATTACACTCCTGGACGAGTGTGAGTGAAAAGGACGACTGAGCTGCTCTGAGACTGCCGGGGCCCTCGGAGAAAGGTGCAGGAAGCAGAGGCCGGAGCCCGTGGGAAAGGAACGTGACTCCGTCTTACCTGGCGGAGCACAGTGGGAAGTGTCAGGTCGGCTATGTTAGCACGGGGCTTGCTAGTCCAAACTACCTGTCTGATGGGGGGCTCTTTTTTAGGTTCTGTCTGGAGCCAGGAACCCCAGGGTGGGGACGGACGAGGGGCTGGGGTGGGGGTGAGGCTGGACTGCAGCTGCCAGAGCTGAGAAGGGGGAGGAAGGAAGGATGGGGACAGCAGCAGGAGGCCGGGAGGCATCCAGGAAGACCTGCTGCCGTCTAGGGCCCAGCACTCTGCCCGGCCAAAGTAGGCGCATGGGGAGTGTCAGGAAACAAATGCAGCAAAGGGGCCAGGATACAGTGAGGTCCCTTCCCAGAAACCTGAGGAACCCACCTGCTTGTCCCATGACCCACTGTGACTGGCATAGAATGTTGGTGGGGGTGGGAGCTGACCGACCTGTTGTCCTTAGTCAAGTCCTGCCCACTCACCGGTCCTGTCTTAGTTGTTTCCTTTTAAAAAGTCATCTCTAATTAATCTCTCATTCCGCAAATGTTTATTGAGCATCTGCTATGTGCCAGGCCCTGCTCTTGCTGCTGGGGCTTCAGCAGTAAACCAAAGGATCACAGTCCCTGTCCTTGTGGGTCTGAAAGAAACACTCATGTAAATGCGTGATTACAGGTTGTATCGAGTGCCATGAGGGAAAAGGGGGGCTGGACTCTGTGAGACGGTGGTCGGGGAAGACTGAGTCCTTCTGCAGGGAAGTGATAAATACCTGAGTCTGCAGATGCCAGGGGTTGGTAAGTCAAGAAAAAGGGAAAAGCAAGCCAAGCAAAAGGAACAGCGTGTGCAAAGGTCTGGAGAAGAACTTGGGCTTCTCGTGGAGGGCAGAGAAGGCCAGTGTGGAGGGAGCTCAGGGGAAGGGGATCAAAGTGAGGCGGGAAAGGTTCACAGGGCCCAGAGCACGCAGGGCCTGGCTGCCATGCCAAAGATTTGTTGTTTGATTCCAACTGTAATTGCTAGGCATTAATTAAGGGTTTGAAGTAAGGGGTGATGTGATCAAATTTATGTTTCAAAAAGATCGTTTAGCTGTGGAAAGTGGGCTCAGGAGGAGGAGAGTGACTGGGGCACTGGATAGTGGAGCCCACCCACCCTTCCCAGAACCCGGCCCCAACCTGTGGGCCAGTGTCTCCAGCGGACAGCCTGGGTCAGCTGTCGGCAGAGGCAGGAGCTGTGGGAATTTTCCCAACGTCCAGCCAGGACCACAGGGCTGTAACAGGTTTGCTAGCAAGAGAGAACCTGGGATCAAGCTAAGATGAGTCAAAGTGAAACAGATCACTTTGCGGCAGGACTTCTCAGAGCCTTGGATTGGGAGCTGTGCTTTGTGAACCTTGGAGAAGGGCCTAGAATGTAGCATGTTCCATACTTATTTTGAGATTGTGTTTTTCATTAAACATTTTGCTACTAAACTTACTTTGAGAAGCGCTGCTGCGACAATTTCCTGTTTGCCTTTCTGGGGCACATATGCTAACGAGCATGCCTAGTTTTCCCCTCATAGCCTCTGCTCAGGGAGGTGGAAGGCCATCCCAGTTACTCATGTAATCAGAAAGGCCGTCCTCTTTACACTACGGGTGGGGAAACGGATCAGCTATGTGTCTTTTAGGCTTGATCAGCCGTCCAATCACAAGGGCGGCCTGGAGGGTGGTGGGGCGCCAGCTTCTCTCACCTCTCCTGTCCACGTCTTGCAGACAACACCGCCTTGTCCTGTCTGTTTAGGGACGTCACCAACAGAGGCCACCTCCCCTTCCTTGATCTCTTTCCTTTCCTCATTATCTCTCGTTGGCTTTGGGGGAAGTAAGAAGTTGACTCCCTCAACTCTTCAAGAGCTTATTATGCCCGATTCCATAAAGAGACAACGATCCCAGCATTTCTGATCCCCAAGTCTTTTTTGATGATGCTCCCAGCATGACCTGCTGGGGCCCCTTTGTCTTGCCGGCTCCATTATGCAGTGTCACCCCCTCCCCCGGTTTTCTGACCCCGGCGACGTGAAGAAGTGTCAGCAAAGAGAAGCAGCTCCACAAAATGTTTTTCAGTAGGTTCTGTTTTTATTCTACATTATTGGCATGACAGGGAACAGGGCCAACAATCCACCTCCACACTCCTAGAGGAAGGACAGTCAGGAGAATTATGTACATCTAAAACGGGCACAGGGCGGAGGTCAGACTCCCTGGGAAGCTTAGGCCACTGCAGCCAGGCCGACCCGGTTGTTGGCCCTGTCGAAGACGGTGTAGTACTGGCGGATGAAGACGTCACCCAGGATCCAGAGCTCTCCAGTGGAAGTGGAGACGTCCATGCCCTCGAAGCCGCTGGTGCAGATCCCGTCCTCCTGGAGAAAAGGAATAAAAGCAGAGCTGGGACACAGATTCAGCGGTGACAGGCCCTGGGCGGTAAACACCCGGGGTGCTGTGGCCCGGCTGCAAGGTGCGTGCGAGGCGCTCCCTGGCCCAGTGTCTGGGATGGGGCGGTTCTCAGAAGCACTGGCGTCCACAGATTACTGGACAGTATCTGGGGTTTCTGGCAGGCACACGAACCCTGGCATCAGCACTGGAGCTAAGGGGTTCAGGGAGAACTCAGCTGCTTGGAAGGAGTTTGGAAACCCTGATGACACAGCCTTTTCTCATTATCCCGTCCAGTGGCAGACCAGAGGGACTGTTGGTCCTGTTCCCTCACTAGGTCACCGGCTGCAACCTTAGCTACACCTGCGAAGATTTGCACACCGCCCTCCCCCACCACTTGCTCAGGTCTCACCCCCTCCTCACGTAATCAGAATCCCTGGGGGCCCAGGCATCAGTACTTTTGTTGAATAACATCACTCCATTGGGCAAAACTGGTTTTCCACCTGACATTATAATAGAAGGCGGAGAGTTTTCCTGGGGCTCCTTCGGCTAAAGATTTGTTGCTTAGTAGAGATGGCGGGAGGAGCGTCAGAAACCCCAAACCTATGGAAGTCAGGATTTCCATTCGCCCACCCCTTGGTAGCTCTGATGTGGCCAATCTCATTTGATTACCCCGCCACACTGCGGGGGTGGGGAAACCTGCCATCGCTAGGTGTTAGGTGAGGAAACTGAGGCTGACACAGGTTGCAACCTGCTCAGAGTCCGTGGCTAGTAATGAAGCCCCAGGACTTGGACCCGGGTGTCCAATTAGACAGACTCCTCCTTTCGCCTGTCACCCTTTGCCTTGATTTTTCCCTTAGGGGCTGCATCCAAATTCTCATTCGGGCATCTATGTTTAATATATTCTTTTTCTCTGAAGCCTGTCAGAGCAGATGTCAACGGGCCTCTTGCCTTCAGCTCATCAAATGCATTTTTCCTTTGCAGAGAGGACTGTGTGGCCACATTCTGGGTGGGTCCCTCTAGATGACGGCCAAGCCCCCTTACCTCCAGGATGTAGGCACTGGCGGGCAGGGGGTACTGGACGCCGTTGATGGTGAAGATGATTTTGGGCAGGCTGTCGACGGACGAGCAGCTGACCGCCATCTGGAAAGAGCGAGGGTGAGCTGGTTAGAAGGATTTTTGTTCTTCTGCCTGACATGCCACCACTTGAGTCTAGAACGGAGCAGTCGGGGTGAACTTACCAGGCCGTCTGAGTCCTCGCTGGCTCCGATGTAGCTCTGGATGTTGGCAATGGCGGAGGTTGGGCCGGTCAGCAGGGAGGTGCCGGTGTCAACGATGGCCTGGCAGCCCTCACTGCAAGCGATGGTCTCTCCGTCCATGGTGATGCTGCCGGCGAGATGCAGGTAAGGATCTCCTGAACCCCCTGGGGGTGCATCTCCCCAAGGAAGAAATAGGTGACCGCAGACAGTCCCTCCCCAGCCCATCCGTTGGCCAATACATACAACTTCAGTTTCCCTCCTCCATCCTGCATTCATGTATTCAACAAATATTTGCTGAGTGCCTACTCTGTGCCAGCCACACGGTTCCCGGCTACAAGGAGCTCCCAGCGTGGCCGGCTATGGAAGAGCAGGACAGGCAGGACACGTGGCAGGGACAGAAACATGGTCCAGGGTGACGGGTGGTGGACAGCAGCCAAGGAGGCTTCTCAGGGGAGCAGACCCCAGAGTTGCCAGGCAGGTGAAGAGAGGAGCAGACGCCGCAGCAGAGGGGACGACGTGCAGGGAGGGACAGAGACAAGAGGGGCGCGGGGGGCGGGGGTGGCTGCGGGAACCGATGAAGTTTTAGCCTGGCTGGGCAGATGTGAGGTGACCAACGCGGCCTGGTTTGCCCAGTTTTAGCGCTGGAAGTGTCGTGTCCTGGGAAATCACTCCCTCTTGGGAAAACGTGCACGATTTGGCACCTGGCAGGCTAGCGGGGGAAGAACAGTGGGGGAATGAGGCTGCCAGGGCTTGGGGGGAAGGCCCTGGAGGGTAGGGAGGGAAGGAATGGCTGCAAACGATTTCTCAGCTGCTTTGTCCCCCCTTGGACTGCGTGTGCCGGCTCACAGGCCCCTAAATGCTGAGATGTGTGGTCAAGCGGGTCCTCCAGCTCTCCTCCGGGACGCTGGAAGATCGCCCTGCCTCTGACCAGGGGGGAAGCGGCTGCCTCACTCCTGCAGAGTCTGGGCTTCCCAGACAGCTCTCCCTGCTCCTCTGTGAGACGCCTTGCTCAGGGTCTCTCTGGTTTGCTTCCGGCTTCCTTCTGGAGCACGTCCTCCCTGTGCTGGCTGTTCCCCGGGGTCTGGAAATCTGGCTAAGTGCGAGTCCGTAGAGGAATGGGATCTGGGGCCCATGGCAGATGCTGCCCATCCGTGGTGGTCTCACCTGTCCACGGTGATCTGCCAGTAACCCTCGTAAGAAACAGGCACCCAGTGCAGCTCTCCAGTGTAGTAAGAAGAATCGATGCCACCAAATATCACCACGCTGCCACTCTTGTCGTCGCTGCGCACAGTGAGGGGAGAAGACAGGGACACAGTCATTCACCGGGACATCTGCTGCGTGCGTCCTAAGAGCTGCCCTTGATCGAGCACTTTCCAGTGCCAGGGCCTGTGCTGAGCGTGTGACAGACACGGCTTCTTCCCATCTCACACCGAGGTGCAGCGGTCACTGCTACTGTTCCCACTTTACAATGAGGGCACTGAGGCTCAGAGAGGTGAGGGAACTTGCCCAGGTTCACACAGCCAGGATGTGGCAGAACCGAGATTAGAAGAACCCAAGTCCTCTGGGTTTCAAAATGTATGGTTTCTCACTAGTTGCCTTGGGGACCGCGAGAGAAGCGAAGGCATGACTGCAGTGGCTCTTAAGGACGTGATGGTGTAGCTCGGGTTCTCAGCCAGCAGCAGTTCTGTCCCCAGGGGACAATAGCCAATGTCTGGAGACATTTTTGATGGCCGTGCTCGTGTGGGGGTAGGGGTACTATTGGCCTCTAGTGGGTAGAGGCCAGGGCTGCTGCTGAACATCCCGCGGTGCGTGGGACAGCCCCTGACAGCAAAGAATTATCTGGTTCCAAATGTCAACAGTGCTGAGATCGAGAGAGTCTGATCTAGTTGTGGAGATACAGAGGCCCCACATGAAGTATTTCAGCATTCCTGAAGGCAGATTTGAATATGAAGTGGCCAAGAGGAAAACAATGATTCAAGAGCCCTCTTATTGTAAATTGCAGGGGTCCTCGTTATTGGAATGTTCATTTTCTAAATGTAGTTTTCTAATCCGCAGTTTCAGGTTAGTTGGGGAAGCAAATGTAGGCGGTAATAAGAAATTAATTACCTGAAGAACTCACCATTTATATAACATGACCCCACTCACTTAGCTCACCCCACCCTTACTGTGAACATTTGGCAGTGCGGTGCGATGCAGTGAGAATCTAGCAGAATGGTTAACGGCTGAAGAAACACACAAATGACGAGGAACCCTTTCAAAAGAGGAGGAGGTGAGTGTCTTGGGAAAGTTGGTGACACTCTCAGATATTCCTGCATAAAACTCTACTCAGCCGAAACCAATGCTTGGTTTATTCTTTGTTCATTCTTAGAATTAACTCACTGTTGCAAGTGGAACCTAGATTTTTGTTAAATTGTCAAAGAAACTTGCTTTCATCATTTTAGAATGTCTTTGTTCAAGATATAAGTCCTGATTAAATCTTCTCTCTTTTTGTTTTGCTATGAAATTTTGGTCCCTGTGTTAAGTGGATTCATTTTAAGTACTATCTTTTGAGGGTCAAGAACAAGGGAACTGGGGCTGGAGAGCAAATGGCTGATGACATTTGTGTTGTGCAAATCAAGGGGACAGTGACTCACGCTGATAAAATGAGACGGAACGCACTTGGTTCGTCACAGAGAGAGTTAGCACGTTATTCTCCAAAGACACACTTTTCCACGCTCAGATTTGACTTTCCAAATCCCTTGTTTTCTAAGACCCTCTCCCCCCACCCAGCCCGGGATGGCTCCCTGCCGGGCCAGGTGACCGTGACCTCTCTGGGGGAGGCCCCTCCCCACCCAACTTACGAGCTCAGGAAGACGGAGAAGAGGTCCTCGGAAACCAGGCCCTGGTCCCATATGTTGTCAAAGACGGGGGTGGCCCCGGAGGCGGAGATGCTGGGGTAGGCCAGGCCCAGGATGCCGTCGAAGGGAGCGTAGTACAGGAAGGAGCCGGGTTCTGACTCACTCAGGCCGAAGATCTGGTTGGTGTCAGAGATGCCTCCAACCTGAGTGGGGGGACCGAATGATGCTCACCATCGACTCACGCTCCCAGAGCTCTGCTGAGCGCCAGCCCTGGGCCCAGAGTGGCGCTGGCTTGTTTTGTGTGGGACTCAGCTTCCGGGGCATCAGGCTGGAAGGAGGGGACAGGGGCTGTGTCCTGGAATGCTCGTGTCTCCCCTGGAGGTAACCGTGGCAGCTCATCTCCAGATGGCCGCAGCCTGTGGCTCGGTGTGAGATTTTGCTGGAGAGCAGATGGTCACTGTGCATGTGTGTTTCTCACCAGCAGATGCAAAGCAGACCCCGGGCGAATCAGGGCCCTGACCCTGCCATGCCCTGGAAGTTGTTGCGGGGGACGGGGGTTGTGGAGTTTCGTGACTCAGAGGGGCTACGGATGGGGGGAGGAGGAGGTGCTAAAAGAGAATTGAGCCTTTATTTACCTCCTTCCCACCCCTCACCCCTCCATAACATGCAGCTTGCGTGGGGCTGAGGCTGGCTTATGGCTCTGGGCAGCCCACCCCCTTAGCCACTACCGTCCCAGCTAGAAATGTCTGTGACATCTCTGCCACCTCTCCTCCTCCACCCAACCGCTAGTTGCTTTTGTGAACACTAAGACTCATCTTGCTTGAATGAGCTTATTTTAGGGGTGCACTGTGGTCCCCAAGGCCCTCAGAAGCTGGCCCCAGGGCTGGGCATGACGTGGTGACAGCCTGCTGGTACCTACGTGGACGGTGTCGTATCCGAGGATGCCTGTCATGCTGCCGGTGCCATAGGTAATGGAGATGGACTGGCTGGTGGCCTCGTAGGTGGAGGAGTCCTCGGGGTTGAAGCGGTTGTGATCGGCTGTGGGTGCGAGAAGTCGCATCGTCGGCCTCCAGACGCCAGGGGTCATGGGTGGGTGGGAGGATATCTCCCTGGGATGGGGCACCGTGGTCCTGAGTGGGGCTCTGGGGTAGAAGGTGACCTTTTCCCCAGACCTTTGGAGCCCAAGAGACACCAGCTTCTGTTCCTGTCTTGTTGGATTAGTTGGGACTATCTCACCGATGGAAGGTCCTCAGCCAACCCCACCGTCCTCCCAAGGACCCCCCAGGCAGACGCTGAGTGGAGCAGAGCCTGTGGCTGCCCAGTCACAGGAGCCTTCGCACCGTGACCCGTGCTCCTGTTGTGACGAGGGCCGGTCCGTGGGCACCTGCTCATGTAAAACTCAGGTTAAAAATCTGGAGGAGGAAGGAACTTCCAGCATTGCCCATGACTTCCAAAGACGAACTCTCTGACATGAGCAAACCAATGATATTTTTAAAAAATGAGCTCATCGCCCACCTGTAGGTGCCCTAGCCAGGCTCTGGAGCCATTTTCTCACCCTGGACTCTTCTCCCGGCTGGCCGTCCTGTCGCCCCTTAGCCCCTTCTTGCTTTGGGCCCCAAACACTTTCTTCCCCGGCGGTGGTTATTTAGGAGAGCTTCTCTCTGCCCTGGGACTGCGAACCTCCTGAGGGCGGGCACCATGTCTGATTTATCCATGCACCCCCAGGGCACCCGAGCCCAGTGCTTGGCGCATGGTGGGTGATCAGTGTACGCTGTTGAGTGAATCCCTGAGACTCCGACAGGCTTGAAGTGGGACCCGTCTGAAGCCCATGAGTGCTCCGGGTTCCCAGGGGCAGCTGGAACTGGCAGCAGGGCAGCAGGTACTCACTGCAGGCAGCGCTGGAGCAGTAGATCGAGGGCACCCACAGGTTGGAGGAGCCGGTGTCAAACACGACGGTGAAGTCCTGGGTGGGGGTTCCGATGCCGATGGTGCCGAAGTACTCCGTCTGCCAGGGCCAGGGCGGCACGTTCACGATCCAGCCTCCCGCTCCGGGCCTCCCCAGGGACTGTCTCTGGGTCTTCTCCTCACTCTGCCTCCCCACCTTTCCCTTCACAGTTCTTGCCTTTCTCTCCCTCCAAAGCACTCATCCTTCAAAGCCCAGCCCTGGTCTCTCTTCCTCCCTGAAGGCTTCCCAGATTGCTCCCCGGATTACCCTCTGCCTGTTCTCTCCTAAGTACCTTTAGCACCTAATAGCAATCTGCTTTCCGCTCTCCAGCCATGGCCTCGTGTGTCTTAGTCTTGCCATCCTAGAGACAGCACTTCTCCGAGGACCAAGGACAGGGTGGAGCCTTACAGCACCCAGCAGAGTTAAGGTGTAAATGCCTATTCCTTAAATTGTTGATCGGGAGATATACAAGTCACCTAAAGACGGAAACCTGTCGAGATCTCCTATTTTTATTTTTTAGAGATCTATTTCTTTTTTCTTTCTTTTTTGGGAGGAGGGACGGAGTCTTGCTCTTTTGCCCAGGGTAGAGTACAGTGGGGTCATCATAGCTCACTGCAGCCTCAAACTCCTGAGCTCAAATGATCCTCCTGTCTCAGCCTCCCGAGTAGCTGGGACTATAAGCACGTGTCACCAGTCTCGGCTGATTTTTCTTTCTTTCTTTTTTTGAGACAGAGTCTCACTCTGTTGCCCAGGTGAGTGCCCTGGCATCAGCCTAGCTCACAACAACCTCAAACTCCTGGGCTCAAGCCATCCTCCCACCTCAGCCTCCTGAGTAGCTAGGACTATAGGCTCACACCACCACGCCCGGCTAATTTTTTCTATTTTTCGTAGAGACAGGGGTGGGGGAGGGGGGAGGGGGTCTCACTATGTTGCCCAGGCTGGTCTTGAACTCTTGGCCTCAAGCAGTCCCCTCTCCTTGGACTCTCAAAGTGCTGGGATTACAGGTATGAGCCACCACACCTAGCCTGAGATCTCTTATTTCTAAATCTAGGTGTGTACCACAGGTTGCAAGAAAGGGCATTGTCAGTATTTTTATTCTCAGTGGCAGCACCTCCCCCCTGTCAGCTGTGTTCCAGCCACACTGATCTATGTGCTATCCTTTGACGATGATGAGCTCATTCCTACCCCAGGCCTTTGCACTTGCTCTTCCTTGTACTAGGAAAATGTTTATTCTAGATCTTTCCTTGGCTGACTTCTTTTTCTTCAATCATTCAGAGTTCTAGTCAAATGTCACCTCTGCCAAGAGGCCTTCCCTGACCACTTTGTCTAAATTAGCCCCTCCCTCTTCTTCTTTCTCTTGCTCCAATTAATTAATCTTTCTTCCTGGCCCTTATTGTTTCCTGAAATTATCTCACATGCTTGTTTGTCTTCCCTCCTAGAATATTGCTCCAGGATCTTTGCTTATTCACCATTATTTCCTTGGCAACTTGCATAGTCTCTGGTATATAGTAGGTGCTTCTTAACTATTTGTCAAATCAACAAACAGACTAACTAAGCCTCTTACCGAGGGCCAGCCAGGCCCTGTGTTGAGCACTCCGGAAAACATTGTTGTGTTATTACCAGCAACAACGCTCTGATGGGAGATATTAGTGGTTCTGTTTTGCAGACCAGGAGACAGGCTCAGAGAATTTAAATGACTTGCCCAAGGTCACATGGCTTGGGAGCATTAGAACCCACATTTGCACCAGGCCTGGTGGATTTCAGAGGCCAAGCTCTTAACCATGGGCAACACTGCTTTGTGCCCGTGGTGGCCCTGTGCCATTCACAGAGGGGACATGCAATGGCCTGCCATTGGGTGTCAAATAAGAGTCAGAATGATCCTCCTGAAACTCAGATCTGATCATGTCAACCCCTGGTTAAGATACATTGGTGGCAATTAGGATACAAACCTCCTTTGTCCCTGGCCTCTCTCTGTCCTGGCCCTGCCCCCGGGCCCCCCGGGCCTCCCCTCCCAGCACCCTGCGTCCCTCTGTGCTCTCTGCGCACGCACAGGCCTCCTTTCCTCAAACACACTCTGCCGCCTCCTGCCTCGGGGTCTGGCACAAGTGGTCCGGCTCTCGGGAGCTCTCTCCCCCGCTCTTAGAGACTCCTGCTCTTCCTTCACGGCCCCTGGGGGGCCTCCCTGCCCACCAGGCGTCACATCCTCACAGGGCGACACCTTCACTTCGTGTCCTCATCCTGGTTGTTCTACTCATTGATAACTGTCTTCCTCTGCCTACTGGACTGTGACTTTGCTCACTGCCATCCCCCAGGCCCAGCACGGGCCCTGACAAGGTGCTCAGTGGAAATAAACATCGAATGAATGAATCAATGAAAAAACGAGAGCGACAGGAGTTTTCCCGAAAGCTCTGGGCTGCTGAGATCCGGGGAGCAGCCCCTGGCTTACTGCCTGGAGATTAGAGCCCTGGCCTGTCCTCTGAGACCCCTGGGATGGCCTCTCTCTGGCCAGCCAAGTCCTTGGAGCCGGCCCCCCACCTGCCCATACACTTACGTCCAGGTAGTTCTCCAGGGGCTGGGTGGACAGCATGGTGGCCTCCTGGGGGAAGTACTTGCTGGCTGGGTTGATGCTGTGCTTCTTCAGGAAGTCCTTCAGCAGGCCATGCTTGAGCAGGTTATGCCGCAAGGACTTCTTCCTGACAAGGGGGACCCTGCGGTGCGGAGGAGGAAGAGTGAGTAGGCAAGGATTCTGCTCATGGGGTGCTGCGGAAGCCCCAGAGGGGAAAGGAAGCTGGTCCAAGAGGGAAAGAAGGAAGGAAGAGGCTGGGCGTGGAGGCTCACGCCTGTAATCCTAGCACTCTGGGAGGCCGAGGCGGGAGGATTATTTGAGCTCGGGAGTTCAAGACCAGCCTGAGCAAGAGTGAGACCCCGTCTCTACTAAAAATAGAAAGAAATTAGCTGGACAACTAAAAAAATTATATATAGAAAAAATTAGCCAGGCATGGTGGCGCATGCCTGTACTCCCAGCTCGGGAGGCTGAGGCAGGAGGATCGCTTGAGCCCAGGAGTTTGAGGTTGCTGTGAGCTAAGCTGAAGCCACGGCACTCTAGCCTGGGCGACAGAGTGAGACTCTGTCTCAAAAAAAAAAAAAAGGAAGGAAGAGAGGAGAAGCTCCCATTTTTTTTGCCCAATAATGCAAAGAAGTTCAGCAATTGCTGCCTAGTGACAGGGCCGGGGAGAAGCCTAGGCTGCCCCCAAGAAAGGTGGAGAGAGAGCCAGGACGGGAAGGCTTTGCCTGAGGGGAGAAGGGAAGAAGAAAAATGTGGGAGGAAAGAAAGGTGACATGAGAGGCAGCCAAGGGGCCGGGAGGTGGCCCCGGGAAGCCGTCGCGGACTCACTTGTAGACGGTGCACTCGGACAGCACCAGCAGGCCGAGAAGCAGCAGCCACTTCATGGTTCGTTCTTCCCGGACCCAAGTCGAGGGAGAAGGCGAGCTGGGATGAGCGTACCGCAGCAGCAGGAGCCGCGCCTTATATACAGCGCGGTCCCCGTCACCCGCCTTATCAGCCTCCAATGTCACTCATTATCCAGCCCCAAACAGAAAAGCGGCTGATAAGATTGTCGCGCCCTGAGCCGTGTTCTGACAAGTTTCCAGCCGAGTAGCTTTCCACTGCGCCCGCGGCCTGGCCTGGGGTGGCCCGCGGAGAAAGAGGAGAGACTGAGGGGTCGCTTTGCTGAAATAATGAAAAAGGCCTGCACCCAAACTTTACAAGCTGAGCGCTTTGACAAAATTGGTTAAAAGTGCACTTAACACACCATCGAACAGACGTCACAGGGGCTCCGTGTACCCTGACTGGTCCCAGTGGGACACACAGCCGGGGTTCTTAGAGAGCAGAGGTTGCTGCAGTTGTGAACCCCAAACACAGGGGTAGGCAGGTTGTTTGTGACTCAGGACACAGTTCCCCCTGTAAATGTCATTGTGTGGGGTCGTCGGGTGTCCACCTGGCCTAGGCTACTTACCGTGACTTGCTTTTGGTGGCAGCTGGGCCGAGTCTGGCAAGGGGGAGACTGGGGAAGAATGCTGCCTACCTTTCCCGGAGGAGGCGAACCTGACACAGGCCAGGTTTGCCTTTGGGAACCGTGTCCCTCCTTTTCTGCACCCCTTCTCCTCCCACTGCTCCCCTCCTTCCACCCTCTCCACCTTTGAGATCCCTCCTGCGTCTGACTCCCCCGGGTGCTCCATGCTTCAAACTGGGCTGAAATCAGCTGCAATGGAGCAAAGCAATCGGTGAACACAAATTCATACTAGGGTGTGAATGACTCAGGAAGGTTCTCTTCTTAAAAAAGGATGCTTACCAACCCAGTGGATTCTCTACTTTGTGGGGTTTTATTCAGGGGGCAAAGTGGAGTGAAAACTTAATTCAAGAACTCTTGGGGAGGAGGGCAGGAGCGGTTACGAGGTAGGTAGGGAGCCCTGTCTGAAGGTCTTGCTCTGAAATTGGGTCCCCTGGGCCATCCTTGGATTTCCCAGCCTTGAAAGCCACAGAGTCTATAAAAACTCGAAGTAGCCCCCATGCCTCTAGGTGGGTATGGAGGGGTGGGCAGTGTGGATCTAGGTCGGGCCGTGGTGGTCAGTACAAAGCACGTCAGCATTTCACACTCACCTGTTCAGACATCTCTGTGCCTCAGATGAAAATCCTTGACCCGCAGCGGTTTCCACTGTCACGTCTAGAGCCTGCTTCTCCTCTCTCTCCCCCACTCTGGAGCCTCTCTCCTTGGGCCATGCGCTCACCTTCGGGCCGATGCCAGCGTTTGTGTGGAGGATGGGATGGTCTTGAAGATGCCTGCCTGAGTCCGGGGGCACCAGATGGAATCCGCTCGCTCAAGGCTCCCACTGGGTGGGAGGGACGGAGGCGTGTGGCGGGGATTGCTCACTGGCGTCCTCAGAGGTGTTGGTGTGCTAGGCTGGGCGGCGGGCACTTGGGTGTTTGTCAATTTCTTTGCACTTTATGTGTATGCTGTGCGTGTATGGAAACTTTCATAATAATTTCTTTAAAAAGAAAGAAAGACTGAGTCCTTTGTGCGTACTCTTTTCGGACAGGGTCATCTTGCCCTGTCACCCAGGCTGGAGTGCAGTGGCATCATTATAGGTCGCTGTACCCTTGAACTCCTGGGCTCAAGTGATCCTCCTGCCTCAGCCTCCTGAGGTGCTGGGATTACAGTTATGGGCCACTGGCAGCGTCAGGGCCCCTCAGGACGGGGGTGTGGGGAAGGAGCCAGGAAGACCATTGCTCATGTCTTGTTTGTTTTTATCTTTCCCAGTGAATTACACGGTGCCTGGAAGTGCTCGATGCAGTTTTTAAAATTAATCCCGGGTAAGCTTAGTTAGGAATAGCTTGGGAACGTGCCTTAGAGTGGGGTCAGGGTTCTGGAATAAGCTACTTTTGCCATTTGCCAGCCAGTCTGGTAACTTACAGAGCAACGTCATTTGTGTTTCTCTTCCTTGGTGGGGAAGAGAGAGGGGCCTTTAGATTTATTGACGATTTACTCTTAGCTCCGTGTGGTAAGCAATGTTATTATTTCCATTTTACAGATGAGAAAACCGAGGCTCAGAGAAGTGTGCCTCTTGCCTGAGGTGACACAGATAAGGAGTGACTGAGCGAGGACTTGCCTCTAGGGCTCTGTTGTCCCTGTGCCTTCTCTGTTACTGCCCTGGCTGGGCTTGCGGGGGCCGTGGGAGGATTGTATGAAAAGCCCCGGATCCAGGGTCTGGGTTTCAACCCAGCCCTGCCTCTGAGTAGATATAAGACCTGGAACTAGTGACCCAGCTGCTCTGAGACTCTGTTTCCTCACCCGTAAAGTGGGGATAATAGTACCCCCTATTTTGTGGGATTGCTGTGAGGATTAAACATGAAGTGCTAGTCTCCACACACTTACAGCAGCTAAAATTACAACAACGGTGCACACCATGTGCCGACAAGGATGCCGGGAACTTTCCTATATTGCTGGTGGGAGTGCAAGATGGTCCAGCCACTTTGGAAAACAGTCTAAGCAGTTTCTTAGAAGGCAAACCTGCACTTGCCATCGGACTCAGGAATCCCCCTTCTTCTCGGAACCCCTGGATGCTGGGCCCTCCAGAGAGGCTCTTTCATGTCGTCCTGGGGGTAAGGATGACTAGAGCCCTGGGAGGCTCCAGCTAGGAGAAGCAGATCGTGTTCAGGCTCCCCTGGCATCCCGGAGCTGGTGTGCAGGGCTCGGAGCCCAAGGATGGGCACTGATTTTGGGGGAACAGCTTGTCGGGGGACCCACAGGGGCATTTTGGAGAAGAGAGCTACGTTTGGGAAGCAGAGGAAGTACCCTCAGGCAGAAACCTGCAGGCTCCTGCATACATTCATTCGACATGTTTTTTATTGTGCACCTGCTGTGTGCTGTGCAGGGAGGTTCTCGCAGCTGAGGGCACGTCCATGAGCAAGATGGGAATAGGCTGTGTCTTCAATGAGTCTGCAGTGAGGTCAAGAGAGGATGGGGGAGGTCTTTCTTTCCCACCTTGGATGGGTATTTGGATCACACTGAGGGGAGGAAGCTCTTGGATTGGTGAAGATAATGAAGTCTTCCCGCACTAGAGATTTTTGCACCCTGAGGGAGGCTGACATGCTTGGTAATGCCAATTCAGGGCACATGGCAGATAGACTCTAGATGGCCCTCAGTTATCCATGCCTGCTGGTGTTCATGCCCCTGGGTCATCTCCTCTCCTTGAGTGTGGGCAGGACCTGTGACTTGCTTCTAAGCAACAGGATACAGGAAAGCAGATGGGATGTCACTTTTGTGATTACATTGTATGGGACTGTACAGTCTGTCTTGCCAGCTGACTCTCTGTATAGACTCTCTCCTGGTTATGATGAAGACAGCTGCTCTATGGAGAGGCCCACATGGCGAGGAACTGAGGGTGGCCTCCAGCCAACAGCCAGCAGGGAACTGAGGCCCTCAGTCTGACAGTCTGCAAGGAACCGGATCCTGCCAACAACCGTGTGAGCTTGGAAGCAGATCCTTCTCCGTGGAACCTCAGATGAGACCACAGCCCTGGCAGGTACCTTGACTGCAGCCTCATCAGAGACTCTGTAACCAGCTAAACTGAGCCTGGATTCCTGACCCACAGAAACTGTGAGAAAATGTGAGTTGTTGTAAGTCACTAAATTTGTATTAATTTGTCATCAGCAATAGAAAACAGGACTGGAAACCTCCATGAAAATTCCACAAAGACCCACCTGGCTGTTGATGCTTTTCCTCTTTTGGGGGACATTTCAGTGCCCTGCGAGGCGGTTTTCTGCTCAGGCAATGTGAGTGATCTGAGAAGGAGGAAGTTGACATCACTGGTCAAGTTATCTGCAAACCTCCATCAACGCAGCAGGGCATACATTTCTGTGGCTGTTTATGCTTTTCTGAAAGCTTTGAGATACATGATCTTTTTAAAAAAGTTATTAATCCTACTTTCTCCCCTTTGACATAGTTCAGAGGGTTCAGTGATCAGTGCAGCCTCACATAACTGAGTAGTGACACAGGCAGGACCTGAACCTGGGTCTCTGAAGGTTCTTGTCCCAGGGCACACTCTGTGTCCACGAACACGCCTGTGAGTTAGCGTGTACTGTGGGCGTTCCCTGATGGCCACAGCTTCCATCTCAGGGCCACTCGGAGAAGCCATTTCACAGCCCCCTTTGCCAGAGGAACTCTTGGGGGGAAAGGGGAACCCTGATTCTGGGACTGCGTGCTCTCCATGAGGTCTGGTCAGCCAGGGCTGATCCGTGGCTGCCAGCAGGGAAGCCACGTGATCTCATGGTGCCAGCCTGGTCCAGCAGAAAGATTAGACAACAATGTTTGCCTTGCCATTAGCCCTGCCTCCCTCGGTATTGTAGTGCCTTGCTTTGAGGGGCACTGGGAACACGCACCCCCTGGCAAGGGCACAGGTGTTCAGAAATGTTCCATGAATGCATCCAATCGAGCAATGGAATGAAATCAAAAGAGCCCGATCATGGCAAGCTGGAGACAGAACAATTAAATGTGATAAGTGTTATCGAGCTACTCTGATAGGGCTTGGACGGCTGGTCCCTTAGGAGCTTTCAATCAAGGTTTTATCAAAGGGACACAATCTTCCATCAACAAAGAGAGCATTGTGTTTTCCATTCCCCAGCCCCAGACCTGGGCTGCTTCTCCAGAGGTGCATAAAGGTTTTAAAAATTAAATTTATAATAACATTTTTGGCCCAAGTATACAAGTAATGTACAGTCATTGTAGATTATTTATCGGTAAATGAAATTTTTAAAATGACTCATAGTTCCACTACCCAGAACTAACCACCATTAGTATTGTAAATGAATATATTCATCTGCTTACAGAGATGGGACCACACAGTACAGTACACACGATTTTGCAATCTGCTTTTAAAAGAAGAATAAAGTGGTTTTGTACTTTCCAAGTGATTTCTTGTAAGTCT